TTTGAATAAGAAGTTTATTCAAAACCGTATTTCATGATGAATTTGTTTTGAAGATCAAGATATCATCTAAAAAGAGATTGGAGTGCTGAGAATCTGGGTCAAGGAAACTGAAACTCGAATATGCGAAGCAGATTACGTGCTTTGAATTTTAAACTGATAAATGTCTTATCTGTAACTACAGATTCTGAGATAGATTCTGATTTTGAATTAAGATCAGTTTATAAAAGGTTGCTGCACGAGGAATCTACTGGGGGACTGCAATTCTGATAAAGTGCGGAGTGCACAAGTTGAAGAGATATAGCGTTCATCGATTTTGTTCTTTGAGAGAAGATTTTGTGAGCTTTCGGGAGAAGGCGTTTGAAGACGAGTGGTGCTCGCCAAGCTAGTCACTTAGTGTGTTAGACACAGCGGCGTCGATAGTCAAGTGGGAGTCTTGGGTTGGTTAAGTCCGATTGGTGTCTGTAACTTATAAAGTACGGAGTGCACAAGTTGAAGAGATATAGCGTTCATCGATTTTGTTCTTTGAGAGAAGATTTTGTGAGCTTTCGGGAGAAGGCGTTTGAAGACGAGTGGTGCTCGCCAAGCTAGCCACTTAGGGTGTTAGACACAGCGGCGTCGATAGTCAAGGGGGAGTCTTGGGCTGGTTAAGTCCAATTGGTGTCTGTAACTTTTTACCTATTAGTGGATTGCTTGATGTCTGGGTGTGGCCCCGTGGATGTAGGTTGGTTTGACTAAACTACGTTTAATCATTGCGTGGTATTTACTATGCTTTTGTGTTTTATTTTGGTAATCCTTAATCAATTTTATAAGAAAACACGGTAAAAGCACATAACCGGTTCTAACAATTGGTATCAGAAAGGGTCACAAACTACTGTGTTTGTGAAATCTTGGCATAACTGGTTGATGCTCGTCTGAAGCAATGTATTCGCTGCGTGAAGGAGGTTCCGTGTCAAAGCCACCACTCTTGGATGAATCCAATTATTCGTATTGGAAGGCCATAATGAGAGCTTTCATTAAAGCCATTGATGAACGAGCTTGGAGGTCGATATTGACAGGATGGACGCATCCGACAACAACAGACAACAGCGGTAATGTCACTTTGAAACTAGAAGAGACGTGGTCAACAGATGAAGATCGCCTAGCGAATTACAACTCGAAAGCACTCAATGCTGTTTTTAATGCTGTAGATGTGAATTAGTTCAAACTGATTTCTACATGTGAATCAGCCAAAGAGGCGTGGGAGATACTTCAAATTGCTCATGAAGGCACAGCTGCTGTGAAGGTCTCTAAACTGCAAATCCTTACCACCAGGTTTGAAGAATTAAAAATGCATGAGGATGAGTGCATTGCCAATTTTAATTCATAATTGTGTGTCATTGCTAATGAATCTTTTGCTCTTGAAGAGAAGTATTCGGATGCAAAACTGGTAAGAAAGACTCTCAGATCACTACCTGAGAGGTTTGCATACAAGGTTGCTGCTATAGAAGAGGCTAAGGATGTTGACTCAATGAAACTTGATGAACTCATGGGTTCTCTTCGTACTTTCGAATTGAAATTTAAGAAGGACAAGAAGGAGAAAGGAATGGCTTTTTGATCTGGAGTAGAATCACAGAGCAATCAAGAGGAATCTGAAGATGAAGGAGAACTAGAAGAATCTCTGGCACGTCTCACAAAAAACTTCAAGAAGATTTTGAAGAAGATGAAAAAGAAGGGAAATTTCAAAGATTTCTCTAAGACTAGGAAGCAGAGATTTAATTCTCAGGGTTCAAAACAAACTGACTCAGATAAGAAGGGAAGAGGAATTCAATGTAGAGAGTGTGATGGATATGGTCATATACAAGCGGAGTGTGCAACACCTTGAAGAAAAAGAAGAATAAAGCCATAAAGTCCACATGGAGTGATGATGAAAGTTCCAATGTAAGTCAAGATGAGAATGAAGAGCACAACAGTAATTTTATTGCATTTAACATGACTACAGTCCTTTCAGACGGAAGAACCAACAGCAAGGATGCATCTGTACTAGAATCTGTAGGTACAGAAATAAGCATGAAGGATGTTTCCGCAGAATCTGAATCTGATATTGATACAGACAGTGAGGAGGAAGACATTGATACTGAAGAGGTCCAGAAAGCATATGAAAAAATGTATTCCAAGTGGACAATGGTTTGCAAGGTCAATATTTCCTTAGAATAGCAGGTTAAAAGCCTTAACAAGGAAAAGGAAGAACTCCAGGCCATAATGACCAAATACGAGTCTGAGGCTGCAAAGAATAAAAGGGATCTTGCAGAAACAAGACTGGAGTTAGAGCGAACTCAAAGAAACCTAAGGTTGTTGAACTCTAGAACGACTAAATTGGACCATCTCTTATCTCAACAAAGAACAAATAGCGATCACACTGGTCTTGGTTACATTGGTGAGAGTTATGGTACAAAATCGGCATTCGTAAAGGCCACAAACAAGTCAGATGTCAGCCATGAGCAGAATACTAAGGTCCGGTCAGGTATGAAATCTGTCACAAATTCTGCAGCTACAAAACGCAAGCAGAAGCATTTTGTTCCTATATGTCATTGTTGCCACATACCTGGACACATAAGACCTTGGTGTTATAAGTATCAAAATGCCTTGAATAGAGGAATGCAGTTTTATCCACCTAATGATAGAAAAACAAGAAAAATTTGGGTTAGAAAATCTGATATGCGGAGTCAAATGGCACAACTTCTTTCCTCATCGCCTGTGCCCTCTTCCTCGGCTGTTGATCCTCCGGTTTGATCTGTTCTTCAGTTTGTAATTTTCGATTCCAATAGTTCCTGTTTTATTTTAGACTTTGGCTTTTTGTTTGCCAAACTTAAGGGGAGAATAATGTGTTTCTTCGTGGTTAATTAGTTAGTAATTTTCTTGAACACTTCCTTTGCTTTGAGTACTCTTGGGTATAATTGTGTAACTTTGCCAAACTAAGCCAAAGGGGGAGATTGTTGAGTCGTATGAGTCATTTTGGTTCTCTTTTTATGTTTTGGGCTTTGGTTGGCTTAGTTGGGCTTCATGTTTGGATTGTTTATTTTGAAAGTGTCAAGAAAAACTTACGTTTTGAAAGTAGTATATTAGTTGCTGCAGAAGTGTCGTACAACTTTTGTTTGAGTCGTTTGGTTCCTTAAGTAATGCTGTGCGTTTTGACAAAATCTGGAGTTAGTTTCTCGAATTCATTGGGTTTGTTCGAATAGAAGAAGATCAGCTTTTGGGTTCGTTCAAATAGAAGAAATCAACCTCATTGTTTTGAATTAAGATAAGGCTCTGAGGATTTCGTGGAGAAGATCAAGATTGTGTTGCTATTTTGATTTAAACCAGGATTTGAAATTGAAACAAATATCTGTTATAGATTTTGTTTTAGTTTGAATAAGAGGTTTATTCAAAACCGTATTTCATGATGAATTTGTTTTGAAGATCAAGATATCATCTAAAAAGAGATTGGAGTGCTGAGAATCTGGGTCAAGGAAACTGAAACTGGAATATGCGAAGCAGATTACGTGCTTTAAATTTTAAACTGATAACTGTCTTATCTGTAACTATAGATTCTGAGACAGATTCTGATTTTGAATTAAGATCAGTTTATAAAAGGTTGCTGCACGAGGAATCTGCTGGGGGACTGCAATTCTGATAAAGTACGGAGTACACAAGTTGAAGAGATATAACGTTCATCGATTTTGTTCTTTGAGAGAAGATTTTGTGAGCTTTCGGGAGAAGGCGTTTGAAGACGAGTGGTGCTCGCCAAGCTAGCCACTTAGGGTGTTAGACACAGCGGCGTCAATAGTCAAGAGGGAGTCTTGGGTTGGTTAAGTCCGATTGGTGTCTGTAACTTTTTACCTATTAGTGGATTGCTTGATGTCTGGACGTAGCCCCGGGGATGTAGGTCGGTTTGACTGAACCACGTTTAATCGTTGTGTGGTATTTACTCTGCTTTTGTATTTTGCTTTGGTAATCCTTAATCAATTTTATAAGAAAACACGGTAAAAGCACATAACCGGTTCTAACATCACTTCCAACCAAAAATGTGTGATTGCAACTTGCAATTTTTTTTTTTTAAAGTTCTGTAACTTGCAAATTTGACATAGCCGTAAAACTACACTCATCTTTAATTATGCAGTCTAGTATTTAAATCTCCTTAATTCTAAATCATTAACTTCTACCCTAATTATCTTATGTCTTAATGCATTGATACCCATGTGATCTAAGTATCAAAGCTACAGGAGAATTTTATAATCTAAAAATGTAATTACAAAGATTAATGAACAAAAGCAAAATGTTCTCTTAAAAAAACAATAATAAAAAACAATTTGAGACACTCTCTATTTATGACTATAAAAATAGAAAGAATCTTGTGTGTTAAATAATAAATACTCCCTCACAAGGCATGCCACATTTTAACATCTTATCATCATCATCACTGTATACAAAAGAAAATCTTTTTTATGAAGGTATTTTCTTATCAAGATTGCATATTATTTATGGACATTAGGATTATGATATATCAGAATCAATTCATGAATGGCAAGTATAAAAAAAAATGTGAAAGCTTATTTACCAAAAAAAAAAGTATAAAAAAAATGTCAAGTTTTCTTTGATTAAACTACATTAAATTCAAAAACTGTTTACACCACTCGTTTGTTGGACTTTCAAGTTACAAGATCAACTCATCTCTCAACCAGTAGTTGACAAAAAGATCTAACAAACTTTTTAATTTCAGCCAAAAAAAAAAAAAAAAAAGATTTCATTTAAACTTTTTTAAGAAGCCACGCATGAATCGTGACGCTTGTCGTTTGGACATCAATCTCAACGAGAATCGTAACGGAATATTCCTCAGCTGCTTGTGATCCTCGCTCTCGTAACTCCCAAACACTAACGTCGTTAGTATCGAACCCGTTAAAACGTCGACGTTTGTGGAATATAATCTGCCTTGTACGCATCAAATTTGTCCTTGGCAAGATCACTTTCCCTACGATAAATTTTCCTCTCTCCTCCTCTTTATCCTCGCCATTAGCGAAGCTCACTCTCAGTCCACTTTCCCAAATTCTCAACGTTCAGATCGGTTTCTCTCTCTACCTTTCTCTTTCTCTCTCTAGATTCTCGATCACCTCCAATGGCTTCCAAGGAACCAGTTCGCGTCCTCGTTACCGGAGCCGCAGGTACTTATCTCTTCATGCTTCAGATCTGACTCATTTCTTTCGCAGTTTTCTTCGATCCGATTCGAGATTTATGGGTTTATGTTCTTCAATTGGTTTATTGTGATGTTGTTTTTTTTTTTTTTCACGATCTTCGCTTGTTTCAGATCTTGTGTCTGACAAAATATTTTAGCCATAAGACGATATTTAAAGTAGTGAATTTGAAAAGATCTCTTTTTTTTTTTTTGGTAACTATTGATTTCCTGAGCCGATAATCCGTAAAGCAAATGTTTGATTTTATAGTTCATTTAGTTGTGTTCTGATTTCGTGATCTGAATTTTACCGGTTCAGATGTTAGAAAATGTTGATCTTTGTAGATTGTTTAGGCGATTTTCCGATTGTTATGTTGTGATTTATGAGGCCTTATGTTTTGGGATTGCGAGTGAATTTGTGCATGAGTAAGCTTTTTATGAGATTTATGTTAGCATAATGGTATTAGTGAATAATTATAAAGGGTATAAAGTTGTCATATTTTATTGAAACATAGACTATGCAATTTTACATACAAACAGTATACAGTGTTGTCTTTTTAATGTCTGCATGATAATGCCTATTTGAAAAAGGAAAAGAGCGGTGGAGATTTTCTTAAGCAACGTCTTGAGAAGATCTCCACCCTTCATTTTATCGTTTACTCTGTAAAAACAAAAAAACTAAAATGTTACCCGAAAAGCTTGTACTCTTTTTTTTTTTTCTTGCCCCAAGTACCATGTAGGTTTGGTATGTTTATCCTCTTCTTCTAGCGTCTCTTTTCCATATAAAAATAAGTTCATTGAAGACGGTGTATTAAGTACTACTGGTGGTTTTGCAGGACAAATTGGGTATGCTCTTGTCCCTATGATTGCTAGGGGAGTTATGTTGGGCGCTGACCAGCCTGTAATCTTGCACATGCTTGATATCCCACCTGCTGCTGAGGCATTGAATGGTGTGAAGATGGAATTGGTGGACGCTGCCTTCCCTCTTCTTAAAGGTATAATGCGTCATTTCTTTTTCGCAGTGTGGAATTCCGATACAAGTTGCGGGAGCTCGTTGTAGGTTCTGGATTCTGGTTTTGTCATAATATGAGCTATGTGATTAATGTTGTTATGCATGCTTCTTGTACCAGGTGTTGTTGCAACAACTGATGCTGTTGAGGCATGCACTGGAGTCAATGTTGCTGTCATGGTTGGTGGCTTCCCAAGGAAAGAAGGCATGGAGAGAAAAGATGTCATGTCAAAGAATGTCTCAATTTACAAGGCCCAAGCTTCAGCACTTGAGAAGCATGCTGCTGCAAACTGCAAGGTCAGTTGTTTTCTCTAATTATTTTTATTTTCAGAATTCAGCTAATATTTTGATGCTCATTGAGAATGAGCTTATTGATTTTGAATCCTCTACCAACTCATAGATCCAACTTGCCGTATTATTATCATGACTCTGACATAAATTTCAAAATATTGGACAAGTATACAAAATTTGTTGGTGCTATCTAAAATACTAGCTATAGTTTTGAGGATTTCTTTGATTGCTTCAATTTTATATGCCGTCTTGCTACTGTGATGTGGCTTTAATTTGATAACGGATGCTATGAAATTTTTATGCAAATTTGCTCAAGTTATATCTGAAATGAAATTGGAGTTGAAATCCAATGTGATGCTGAGATATTCCTATATTTTTTAATTTTGAAAGTTCAAAGATGCAATGTTGCATAATGCATCATTTCCTACGTGACTTGTACAATTAAAGAATTCTGCAGTTTTGTATATTCAGAGTTCAGATTGATCGAACACTTATGAGTTGCATTCTGTTTTCATTCTTTTGCAGGTTTTGGTTGTTGCTAACCCTGCCAACACCAACGCATTGATTTTGAAGGAATTCGCACCATCTATCCCTGAGAAAAACATCACTTGTTTGACGAGACTGGATCACAACAGGGCATTGGGTCAGATCTCAGAGAGATTGAATGTTCAAGTTAGTGATGTTAAGAATGTTATCATCTGGGGTAATCACTCATCAACTCAGTATCCTGATGTGAACCATGCAACTGTCAAAACACCATCTGGGGAGAAGCCTGTCCGTGAGCTTGTAGCTGATGATGCATGGTATGAAATTGAACGACTTAGTTAATTCTTACTTACGGCCTATTATTTGATTTAAGCTGACTGAATAATTCCTATGGTGAAAGGTTGAATGGAGAATTCATTACCACCGTTCAACAACGTGGTGCTGCAATTATCAAAGCTCGCAAGTTGTCAAGTGCTTTGTCTGCTGCCAGTTCTGCTTGTGACCACATCCGTGATTGGGTTCTTGGAACTCCTGAGGTTGGTTTGGTTTTAAAAGACCCTTTGCCATCTGTGCAGTACAGTTAATCCATGCTCATTATATTTGTTCCTTTGATTTTAGGGAACATGGGTTTCCATGGGTGTGTACTCTGATGGCTCATACAATGTACCAGCTGGACTCATTTACTCATTCCCGGTCACCTGCCGCAATGGTGAATGGTCAATTGTTCAAGGTAAGAATCTTCTGCCATTCACGGAAAACTATGACATAATTAGTTGTATGAAAATTCAAGAATCTGTAAAATCGATGTCTTTTAGTGTATGCAAGCTCCATCCTAGTTTAAGCATTTTGATTTGACCTTTCACCTTAAAAAAAATTATCAACCTCTGTCTCCATAGCAATCTAGATTGTAACTTTTTACCATATATATATATACACACACACACACACACACACACACACACAAACACACACACACACACATATATATATATATATATTTTACCCCTGCAGTGAATGTATGTATCTGCTATATGCTATCTGTTATAGGTTTTAATTTATCTAACATGTTCTCCTCCTTTCTGTTATCCGCACAGGACTTGCTATTGATGAGCTCTCAAGGAAGAAGTTGGACTTGACAGCCGAAGAGCTGTCTGAGGAAAAGGCATTGGCATACTCCTGCCTCTCGTAAATGCTCTCCTCTCCTCTCCACCGTAGAGTGGTTGAGTCTGGAAGCGGCTAAAGTTTTGAATAATGCCATTGTTAAGATTTAGAAACCTGTTAATGATGGATTAGCTGCTTCTGTTGGGTTTTACTATTGTTGAACCAATCATTAGAGGAAATTTGGATTTTCGTTTGTTAAACTTGTGCCAGTCATTTATCAGATAGGCTCATCTTTGAATGTAGGGGCTACTTTGATCCATAAGTCAAGCCCTTGATTCTTGTTTTTCATGCTTGTTATGTCTTTTAAAATTTTGAAGGCTCTTCCATAGTCGCAAAAAATTTCCTTAAAAATTTCCTTTCATCTGTTCGTAAAACTATTTCATTTTGAAGGTATTATTGGGCAAAGCGACAATTATTTCAATTTGATTATGTTGACGATCAATACATTTCCATTAATTAGCAAACAATACATTTTCATTTATTATGTTTTGTCTGAACCAACCGAATGAAGAGAAAAATGAAATTCTACCAACGCAAATAAATATTTCACAAAATGTGATTTCAGATTATTGAAAACAACGTTCCAAGAAAAAAAGGATAGAGAAAAATAAAGGGGTTCTTATTCCACTAGTCTTATCGGGTTTCTTTGAGTTCCTGAGTAGTGTTGGAATTTCGGGTGGTGGGCTTGCTCGAAGCTTGATTTTTGGGGCTCAGCGGGCAGGACTCTATGTCCGCCCGTCCAGCTTAGTTTTGAGTTCGGGCTCGGTCAGCCCGAAAAAATAAATTGAAACCAAGCCCGCCGCCGTGTGTACCCCATGCCTAATTGCCCGCCGGAGTGCCCGCCCGATTGCCTGTTCAACGGCTAATTTTTTTTTAATGTTGGTGCCTGGCCCGACCGTCGACTACAACGGCTATATTTTGTACCGTTGTCTGAGAAGTCCGAACCGCCTGCTCAAAGCCTGACCCGCCGATCAAAAACTAGCCGTTTGATTCAAAAATTTGGGGGAAAAATTAATTTTTTTTAACCCAAAAATTCCCCAATAAATACTCCTCTCCCTCAAACATTTTCTTTACAACATTTCTCACATTCTCTCTCAATCTCTCTCAATCTATCTCACTTTTGTCTCAAATCTCTCTTACAATTTTTTCACAAGCTCACACAAAATCCTAAAGCTCTCTCTCTCAAAGCGCTCTCATTTCAAGTCTCAAAGCTCTCAAAACTCTTTTCAACTTCAAGCTTTCTCAAGCTCATTTTTTTAATTTCATTTTTATAATGGCATCCTTTGGTTATGGTGATAATCCCGTTGATCCCCAAAGTCCAATTACTACTAATGTTTTTACTACGCAGGAATCGCAAACACAAGCACCTGAGGAATAATGTCCAATTCCAAATCCCAACCGTGGTGGATCTAGTGGAGGTCGTGGTCACAATGGTGGGTGTGGAGAGGCAAGTGCTACTATAAGTGTTGCAACCTCCAAGAGGAAATGCAAACACACCTCCACAATTTGGGAGCTCTTCTATAGATTTGAGGAAGTCGACAATGACGGTAACACTAAACACATAGCTCAAAGTAAATATTGCCATTCTAATTTACAAGGTGACACTATTTAGGGCACAACACACTTGAGATGAAAAGTGTCTTCTCAAGCATGGCCAAACCGGTGGATCTGAACTCTGCCAAACACAATTATCATTTGATCGTGCAACCGGTGGTCTAACCACTTAGAAATACAATCCACAAATTGATCATATGGAAGTTGGGCGATTGATAGCAACATTAGATCAACCACTTAGTTTTGTTGACCATCCTAATTGGCACCGTTATATTAAAATTGTACATAATCCTAATACACAGTTTTTTTCAAAAACTACTCTTAGGAAAAATTTGTTAAAATTATTTAAATAAGAAAAAGAATCATTAATCAACCATTTGCATTCTACTAGTAGTTGCATTGCGTTAACGTTAAATATTTCGTCTGTCGTTGCCAACAAAGATTATTTATCTGTAACCGGACATTATTTCAAAGGTTTTGATTTAGATAAGAGAATGTTATGTTTTAAATGTGTTATAGGATCACATAGCGCTGATATAATATATAATACAATTTTAAATCTCATTAATGAGTATAGATTAAGGGATAGAGTAATTGCTATAACATTAGATAATGCTAGTGCAAATACTAAAGCAATTGAATATTTTGAAAATGATTTAAGTTTATTTGGTGACGGTACTATATTTCACTAACGTTGTGCATGTCATGTAATTAATTTAGCAGTAAAATCTGCTTTAAAAGCAATGGCTATTCGTATAAAAAGAATTAGAGATAGTATTGCATGGATTCGAGGTAGCAACCAAAGATAACAAGATTGGTTTAGGTTCTTACAAGCAGTAAATCTAAGTCCTAGAACATTAGCCCTAGATATGCCTGTAGAATGGAATTCAACTTATATATTGCTTCAACAATGCATCCCCTATAAAGATGTTGTAACAAACTGTATCAATGCAAAATTAAGAGTAGGACATATAGACCCATATGATTCTGGTTCCCGAATCGAATTCGGGTGCGGAAGCGTGGTGGGGAACAGCGGATCGTGTATAACAAAAATTTTCATAAAACTTTTGACATACTCTATAGATTATATTAATTTATGCACGAATAAATTAATCACATTAATTTACATTATTCAAGGATCAACCGAAAAAATACCTGGAAGCCGACTCGGATGATAACTTGAATTTCTTTGACCACGAACAGTCCTTACTCCAAGCTTTGTGTTTAGAATACCAAAGTCTTCCACGTCAATTCCTTGATTCCACGTAGACGTGTGTGTGGGCACACGTGAGACAAAATAGGTTTCTGAAACACTCGAATTTCCACAAATACCAACGCATGCACGATGTGAAATTTTTGGAGAAAAATTTTGCTCTCTATTTTTCACTCTATAAGAATTTCGGCCACAACCAACTTAGGGCTGAATAATGTTTTAAAAATTATCTCTACAATTTTCTATCTTTCTCATATTTAAAGAGAAGAAGTCAAACTTTAAAATAGAATCAAATCCTTATCTCCAATTTTGAATTTGGAACAAAAAAACCTTTCCCCTTATCCTTTAAGTGGCCGGCCACCCTAGGGATTTATCCCTGTGTGTGTGGCGCCAATCTCAGATAGGGAAGGAAGAGATTTTATCCTTTATCCAGCAGTCTAATTTTAATTTAGATTCAAATTCGAATTTAAGTCAAA